CAAATTTGAGCCTTTGCCACATTTATTTGATCACCATGGAAACCTTTGATCTCTGGACACGTTGTTAGCTTCAATATAAACACCTGTGTCATGGAACACGATGATGTCATAACTCCAACTGACATGCTCAGAGCAGCAGACTTCAGATAATGGTCCTGCCCTCAACAGCTCTACGTCAATTATGGGGTGTCATCATATGCCGTTTCCATGGAAACGCATCCCTCGCCATAAAACACGATGTCGCTGTAACTCCAATGGACACGGTCCGATCGTCCCCTAAACTTCGCCTGTATATCACCGGTCCATGCCTCAACAGCTTTACGCCAAATGTGAGATCTCACCATAGGCTGTTGCCATAGAAACGCATCCCTCGCCATAAAACATGATGATGATGTAGCTCCAATGGACACGGTCCGGTCGTCCCACAATCTTCACCTGTATATCACTTCTCCATGCCTCAACAGCTCTATGTCAAATCTGACATCTCACCATATGCTGTTTCCATGGAAACGCATCCCTCGCCATAAAAGACGATGTCGCAATAACTCCTATGAAAATGTTCAAAAAGTGCTCAAACTCAGCCGTGAAGACATCTACGGGACCGTTTTGAGATTTCTTCAAATGCCTTTGCCATGGCAACACAATGCTCACCATGAAACATGGTTTTCTCATAACTTCAGTGAAAATGCTCCAAATGGCCCAAAACTTCACAAGTTTGGTAACGATGCAGCCATCAACGCATCTAAGCGTATTATGGAATGTCATCAAATGCCGTTGGCATGGCGACAGATCATTCACCATCAAGTTAGTTCAAAAGTTTGCAGTTCAAATATTCTGCTGCTTTTCCAAGGCTTTTTACTTTCTTTTCTTCTCTCGTCACACATTCAAGCCCCCAGTGTTCATGTATCATTTCAATCAAAATTATTCACTTTCTCTTACACATTACATTTCAGCATAGCAGTTTAGCGTCAGCTTTTCAGCACAAAGCATTCCCACTAGCAATTTCTTCAGGAATTGCATTCTCTAGTTTTGGTTTACTGTCCTATAGTATTGGGATGATTTCAAACCTGTTTTTATTTATCCAAATAATTATAAAGGTGTGCCTTGGAAATATTTGTTTACATAAATTGTGACCAAACCGTTTGAGACCCACTGAGATAACTTAGACTAAAGTGAACTATCTAAACACTCAGAGTCCTTTACCTCACTGAGCTGTAGTTATCAGCCTCAATCCAACAACAATCTGCGGTACCGATGCAAGCCCTCTCTCTCTCTCTCTTGCTCGCTCGGAGGCTCGCTCGCACTTTGGCTGTGAGCTGCGGGCGCCTGATAAGTCAACATCCCCCACTTTCATCACTTACAGGCAGCACCCATCGTACAGGGCAAATGAAAAGTGTAACCGAGGTGAAAAGGGTGTTACATTTACTTAATTATTAATGTTGTTAAGGCTGAAAATTAGGACGAGCCAAACAATCAAAAAAGTTTTTTTCCCTCCCAGAACTACCAGCGCAGCGCCCCCCCCAGATCTGGCGCCCTAGCCGCATCTACGCACACACATACACACCCTGTACCACACGCACCTACACACTGTACAACACGCACCTACAGCTCCTAAAGCATATAATATCGGGATACAGCCGTTGTGTATTTTATTATGTGAAGCACTAAATGGTTTTAGAAAAATATTGACTCTTTGTTTGTAGATATCTACTAAACTAAAGCATACAAATAAAGAAAGTAATGTCTGCCTGTTATACTGAGTGATATACACACTGCTCTGCTTTCTGAACGGACCTCACAGCTGTTCTCACTGTAAAGTTTAAACATCACGTCGACGAAAGCAGTTAATAAAATAATATTTTTTTAAATGTTGAAGTTAAAAGCATCAATCTGGTGCACTTTGAGCACAAAAGGAATTTATGGATACAGCTCTCAACACTCCTATGAAAGAGAGCTGTATGCTTTTCAATAATCCAAAGATAGATATAGAGTTGTGGTAAGTAGATAGAGTTCGCTATGATTGAGGTTTCGTTTATGCATAGGGTAGATTCTTTTAATTAAATTTCCTTTTTGTGTATTTCTGACATTTTGGATTTCCTTGGCGAGCTACTTATTGAGGGCTTGCGAATACCGGAATACCGTGTTGGAGACCCCTGCATGGGTCTGCTGTTTTTTTCATTTTCAGGGGGGCCACAGGGAGGGTCCAACGTCAGTGTTAGGGGGGCACTGCCCCCCCCCCCCTAGAACCGCCCCTGGTATCATAGACGTAATTACAAAAATAATAATAAATGAGCTACCTTGAAATTAGTCGTGCCAGTCATAATCCCAAAGTGTTTCTTTAATCTAGGGTTATTTCATTTTTCGTGAAGAAACAAGATTCCTTACATTTAATGAGGGGCAATGTTAGAAGGATTTGGTAACTCATAATGTTAGTATAATAACAATGGACTTTAGAGACTTAAAGCGTGTTAAATGGGAATCAAAACTAATTATGATTATAAATGATTTTATGGGTTTATTTTGTTTGCACCCATGTCCATATTATAAGAAAGACTCACATTCCCATGTGACCTACACTGCAACAGTTTTTGGTAGAGTATTGTTCCTTCTGTCTATTCTGGCAGAGAAAGTATTTATTCTTAATGCATTTACACTATGGAACAAAGTCCACATTCCTTGTTTGGGGAGAAAATGCATTTTATTTCGTCCGACTGAGCAAATCAAGAGGACATTTAGATAGTTTTAGGGCCAATTCTCTTTGCCACACAATTGTTCCTTGTCAAGATGCAGTGGAGTGGTCATTCCAGAATTGGAGGACATTTCATGTCCCCCATATAAAAAATCAAATAATCCATGCCCAAATAATTAAAACATGCACTTGTTGTGTTAAATATACTTGTCTTGAGACAAGATGTATATAAAGTTGTAAAAAAAGTGGTTTCAAAATATTATTTAAAATATCAAATAGCTCTCGAACATCCCCTAAAATGGCCTTTTTCTCTTGTCCCCGCTTCTTGGTGACCAGTTGCATGTCAAATATAACGTTTAAAATAGGGTTTTTATTTACTTTCTTTGGTATTATTCTATTGATATATTTCTGTTGTAATCAATTTGTTAAATCATAAATATATTTGAAATAACAGTAATTTTACAATGAAAGTGTGTCCCACAACATGCGCGCATCCCTGTTACCGACACCTTTTTAGCTTGGCAGAGGAAGGGAAAAAACAGTTTGTCACATGACACAGTGGAAAGGACATCAGCAAGCCATGTGCTAAACTGGGTAGACCAAACATGGGTAGACCAAAAGTAAGTCCTCTCTTTTATTTTTTATATTTCCAATCTCTCTTGAAGGAGTGTGGCACTCATACAAACGCAATCCTCTTGCTCAAATTATGAGACTAAAACAAATTAATTAAAAATGTATCTTTCTTTAGTTACATATCTAAGTGTGTCCATTCCTTGACAATAGCATTACATTGTGCAGTTAGCATTAATTCCTGAGATAAAAGCTAAAATTAGCATTGATTTGCAACCCTGTTACTTGTAACCCAGGGTTGATTCTTCATTGGAAAATATATATAAAATATTATCAAACAACATTTCTGTGGTCCTGAGTATTTATTTGTCTCATTTCTGTCATGATCTACACAATCAAAAGTAATGTAGCCATTCAACCCTGTTACTTTACGCAACCCTGTCTAATTTCAACCCTGTTACTATCATTTTCTATTAAAATAATTAAATTAAACCAGTTTTATCCAAAAACTACATCAGTATTTAATGTAAATGTGACTTTCTTTACTTCAATTGTATTGAAGAATATTTTTGAAAATGAGTATTTTGAGTATGAGTATAATGCTTAATGAGTATTTGTAACAGGGTTGCAAAAAGCACGGCACACAACAAATAAAACATCTAATAAAAAGTGTACATTTGATGCCTTAGCTGGGCAAATCACTTTTTTTGATGGTTTATTATCTGTTTTTCCTAAAAACATAACAAAAAAGAATAAAATAAAAGGTTCATTTTTTAAAAAGTGTTGATGTCTAAATTGTCCTCCAATGGTCAAGGTCTGTAACTGGTCAATTCCAACTGTATTTCCTCCTGAATAGCTTAACTTGCTTATCTTTTAGAGCAGTTGTTCTAAACATGTCTGTGTCAAGGACATATTTTTCAATCACAGACTAAAATAAAATAAAGATTGTTCTTATAAATGATTAAGACCAGAATTGTAGTTTGTCATCTGCAGTCTAGGAGATAACCGTTGATAAAGTGAAACCTGTGATAAAAAAAATAGATACTCTCATCATGACTCTTAATCACATTAGGCTCACTTAATATTGAATTAAACATTGAGAATAAAATGTGTCCTGTTTTCCAAGGACCCCCTTGAACTCCCTCAAGGAACCCCAGCTAACAGAGCCGGCCAGCTAACCAATCACAACAGAGCCGGCCAGCTAACCAATCAGAGCAGAGTGGGCTCTGGTTTCAGACAGAGGGTGAAAAGAGGTGCTGCAGCACAGGCAGTATGAGAAAAATAAAGAGCATTCTGAACATTAAAGCATGGAGACATGTCCCAGTAGAGACACTACATTCTGATATGAACCTGAAAAGGAGCAGAATATGGCCCGATTAATGTGGCGTATATGTTTGCTACTCTATACACCTAAGATAAGCCACAAAGATAACAATACTACCAAAACAGGCAATTTTAGCGAACTCTAAGGACATGTTTCACCATTAGGTTTGGTTAAACACTAGCCTTTTCTCTAATGTTTTACCTTTAAACTTAACACAGAAACAGCCAGTCAGTGTCAATGTGTTACTATGGAAACATGTAGTGTTGAGCGTAACGTTTTCTAGCGTTTTGTTGTTGAGTTATAAATGACAAACACATTGTGTAGTCAAACAAAAAATTGTTATCTCTATTGTCACAACCCCATTTGTAAAATTAATTGTTACCTGCTACATGTGTGTTTGAAAAAAGACTGCGAAGGTATCAAGATTTAAATGTTTTATTTAACAAATTACATTTTTTCATGTGCATGAGAAAAACAACTCAATGAGAAAGTCATTATAGATTTTTTTGTATTGCTTTGTGAGGACTGTGACTCTTGCTGTAAACCAGTGGGCCAGCATGAAAAATGCAACTTTACTCACCGTTAGTAAGTAACCAGAAACTTGCTAGTGCCTCCAACCAGTAACGCAGGCAACGTTTAATAATAATTTAAAAAAACAGACAAATAAATATACTTGTTAACTTATGTACTACACGTTCAGTTTGTTTGTGACAGAGTCCTCGAATCCATTATACTCGTCTTGTATCTCTTGACTGCTCGTTTCTGTGACTCACTGCTGACTCTCTCTGCCTGCATCAGTACTGTTAGCAGAGTGGAGATGGGTCCTTATATGGGTACTGGCCTATGCTAACTTACAATTAGCTTGTTGGGCAGTAGATTTCAGATTCATCCCTGAAGTCAATTAATAATTAGACTTAGCACCAGGATTTATTTAGTTGGCTTGTGGTTAGAAGAAAGCATTTGTCTCGTGAGCACAAACATCACCTCAGAAGTTCAGCTAGTGGTGAACACATCTTATTCCCTGGGCCATTAATAGCTTTTTTCAGAACATCTCATGGTCATAGATTAAATCTGAGCCAGTAAGTGGGCTTTTGTCATTGTCAGAAGTAATATTTCCAGAGGTGCAGTGGTTAGCACTCACAGCGTCAGGTTCTGTTAGGAGTTTGCGTGTTCTCCCATCAGTGTGGCTTTGTATCCAACTTCCTCCCACAGTGTACTGACATGCAGATTAGGGTAAATGGAGTACTATGCAGAATGGGAAATCAAATGATAATTTGATTGTGTACATGGAATCAATTTAATTCTGGACACCCAGGTTCAAAATCCAGCTGCTTTGTCCTGCTTCCTGTCACCTTGCATGACCCCTGAGCTGCAGTGATTCCTCAAGGGAACAAGGAAGCAGTGAAGGGCGGGTTAGACTGAACTGAGTTTATGTTATGTATTAAAATGGCATTCCATGTTAATCTCTTGACCTAAAACGTAACTTTAGCCTTTGTTCTCTTCAAATCTGACGAGCCTTGTTAATAATCACAACGGAAGAGGCAGTAGTAATTTCATATCACCTTCATTTCCAACTAAATCTTCAGGTAATTCAGAGTTTCAAATGAATTTGACTTGTGTGTGTGGATTGTGGGAGAACACTCCACTCAGATCCAAGAAGTCCTGCCTGTGAGGTAACGGTGCAAACCACTCTGAAGATCATGTGAATAACGCCCTAACTGGGTAGTTGGTTGCTCATATCTACAGATTATTGCTGAAACTTCAATTACACAATTCTGTCGTGCATTTCTGATTAGCTCAATAGTTTTGTCAGTAGTCAAACTGAAAATTACATTCTCAAATCATTTAAATTGTTTAAAGGGAAATTCTGTTTTATTCAACTTGGGTGTTATTTGCAGTTTTGTCCATCAGTCCTATCAGTAATAATAATGTACACATCAAGTTACTAACTTGGGAAAAGGGTGAGTATAAGGATTTAAACAAACCCCAACGTTATCCAAACTGACTTGGAATAGAAGCCAAAGATGAACGTTAAAAACATTTTTCCAAACTAACTTAAACTATCTGTGTCAGGTAGCTCTCCTATCCCAGGTCCAAATCCAGCCTGAAATGACTTACTAGTGGATGGATAATGTACATTAGTAAAAGTCACTTATCAACCATTTAAAGTGATCTTAATGCAGTTGCTTCAAATGGATGACGTTTTTTTCCCAAGCTGTACCACAGTCTCATACATTACATTCTGCTTGGTTCCCAGATTCATTGATGCTCTGCTTTCAAACCCAAGATCCACCTTTTATGGCTGCATCACAGGGAAATACTACATGTTTTTCACTTAAGACACATGTTAAAGGAATATGTGTACATGGTAATTTTGCAAACCTTGGGGTCTTGACTAAATGGTACATGGAGTGTAAACAGGGCAGGGGCCTAACCAACAGAGTGGTCCACTGAGGTTCACTTCTATTGTCTTCAAGCTGCAGCTTCACTGCTGCTGGCTACTGGGTCGGGTTAGTCATCACATGAAATACTTTTGTTATTACCAATGTTTGGTAAGTTAAGGCCTGTTTGCTTCAAACAAAGAGCTTTCTGGATCACACAATAGCATATGAAACCTGTTTCTGACAGAAGATAAAAGCTGCTTTCATCAATTTGTGTAACTATCTGACGGACTAGTTTGTTCCAAACACACTGATGCCTAACACTCAGCTCCACCCTGTAAGCCTGCTGTTTGGGACCTGCTGTGTTACCATGTGTACAGAGCTATCGTAAGCTAACAATAAGCGCTTTCCATCAGTGTCGATGTAGCCCTTGACAGTTATTTATCCAGGTGAAGCTCTCAGATAAATTGGTCAATGATCTGTCTCCCTCATCATGTACACACACCTATCCTTCAACAGCCAGCAGAGTAGTACCCAGCGTCCCCTGGTCCATTTGTACACAGTCCTCCCATTTAGTTAGTTCAGGTTAGCTAGCTAACACTGATGGACAACTCGCAGTTTTTGTCGAAAATTTAGTTTGATAACCATGACGATGGATTTACTCTTGTCCCTTCTGGCAACATTAGAGCCGCCATTGATTTTGGTCCACAGATAGTGATGATGGCCGAGCTGAGTTTTGTTTTAGAGACAGTTAAAAAGTACTCCCTCTGATCACAGCTTACTCTGGGCCCTCATGTTGAACCATACAGCTGCTGGTCCTGAAATGTACAGAACCTTTGATCCCACAGAGCTTCCTCTGGCCTGACCTGGGCCTGACAGTACATGTTCTTCAAGTCCAAACTCACCGGCCCCTCTACCCTACGTGACATACTCCTCGTCATCAATAGGTTCTGATTTGATGTGGTCAGGGTGGAGTAGAGGGAAGTGAGGTACTGAACTCCTGGTACACACGTACCACTCCTTAATGTTAGAAAGCTGAGGTAAGGCGGGGTTCACGGAGCGCTGGCTCCTGCGGGGGGTCCTCCCACTCTGCTGCCTCTGGGCCAGCTGACTCTTCAGGCCCGACAGAGACAGATCCAGAGGCATCGCCATGGGAGACGAGCTCCGCAGCAGCAGCTTACTGTCAACGTCGCTGGCAGGGCTGAGATCCAACTCGTGTTTGGCCACAAGAGGGAAATGAGTGTGAAAATTGGCATGGGAGGGGGAGTGGCGGTTGATTTTAAGGTCGAGGGGCTCCAGGAGAGCCTGATGAGGTTGTTGGAGGTGATGAGAGATGGAGTCGTACATGTCCTGGGGGTCAGAGGTAGGGGACGACTTGACGTGGACCTTCATGTGTTTGCGCAGGGAGCTGGGGTGGGTGTAGGACTTGGTGCAGCCCAGGGCCTTGCAGTCGTAGGGCTTGGAGGCCGTGTGGACCTGGGAGTGCTTCTTCCTGTCGCTGCTGTTGGCGAATCGTCGCTCGCAAAACTCACACTGGAATGGCTTCTCACCTGCAACACAAACATCACACAGACCATTATCACACCACTAAGGGGGGGGGGGGCTGTTTGTTTACAGCTGAAGCGACACCTCAACCACCTAGTTTATGACCCTGAGTGTATTTTCATTTGACTGTTGAATTACTTCAGTACCCATGGTATAAAGTGGTGCAGTCTTGACGTATGTGTGTAGGCCTTGTACTGGATGACATTGACAGAAAATACCATAGACTTTAACAGGCAAACTGAGTGTTTATGTTATACTGAGTGTTTAGAGAATATTCTCATGCATAAAAAGCTGGCTCATGTTCAAATATAAATGCAATGGTATGTCTTCAAAGAGGTGAGAGGCGAGTGTATTCATGATCTTAAAGGAGGGAGGAAATGAAAAGGTTTTATGTTGCTGTTCATATGCACTTTGTTGTTATGTAATAGGGATGCATCGTCTATTAGACATTTACAGTACCAATAGGGACACTGTTATTTTAAAGTTCTGAACAATACATAAAATACATTATTTATCAAATCTCTGCTTTCTACTGCCAACAGATAGTTTGACCCAGTCTTATAATAACCATATTAATAATAATCAGGGTTAAAACTAAGCAGTAACACCGCATATAGCTTCTTTTTTCAGCCTCCAGGCTTTCAGCAGTGCAATGTGTTTTGGCTTTTAGAAACAGCATTGGCTGTAACAGTGCATGCGTGTGTGCCACGTGTTTCACAGGTTGCATTTCAGTGCACAGACTTCTCTTTAGACAGATAGGATTGTTCTCCTCTGGTTCCTCCATTATCGAGAAGCAAACTTATTGTAGTTCGTTTTTGTTAATCATATTTATTTATTAAAAAAATACTTGCTGTTAATTAGTGACACCATTGAATGGATGCATTATGACTAACAGGTTTCGAGTCATTAAAAAATGCACAATAGCTGTGCTGTTCCCTAAAGTATCTTCCTACAAATGACGTTAGGGTTTGACAAACGGCCAAAAGAACTTGCAATATGTTTTTAAGGATACAAGAAACCCTGACACACGCTACTTGCATCTTTCTTTGAAAAAAGGTTTTGATAAATAGGTTTGCTTGGGGATTGCAAAATGATGATATTATATTTCATCATTTTTACAGTTGCCAGAAGCACAAACATTGAACTGCATACAAGCTAGCCAATAAAAGGTTTACATCAATCATTAAAAAAGTCCAAGAGTAACACATATTTTAATAATTATATTTGTGGGTCCAGGCCTTTAAATCTTTGGGATATATTTGATTTATTAGAATACTTATTATTTGTACTTCTCTTTGTCTAGGTGGTCCCTTTTTCTGTTTAGCTGTCGACTGTCTCAGTAGTGTTTCTATATTCCCATGTAATGTTTCATGTATAGCCTCACACCACATATGTGCATGTTCAGTTATGTAATACACACTATGCCAGTATTGTACAGTATTTAGTTTGTATGGTTGGGGTTGTTTTTGGAAAATATAATTGAATAATAAGCGTTTTTTTAAGCAATTTAAACACTGCATTGTTTCATTACCAAATTGACATTGAAAAAATACATTTACCTAAACACACGCTTTATTGGCTGTTCATTGGATCCACCTAAATAAAGCTATTGCTGTCTAAGGTAACAGCTCTGCATGCATCCTACCTCACTGACCGTTTTAATATCAGTTCATGTGTGGCGTTTCATAAAGGTGTTGATTTAACTTGTGCTGTTTATACCTTACTAACATGAGGGTAGATGGTTCACATCGTGTCTAGCATGTATTATTCATCTCCAGTGAGAAAGGCATCTGCAAATATGATTGATCTGTTGGGTTCTTGAAATAATTAATAAAGTGTTAAGTTGCAGTTATTAGATTGTTAATACATTTATTCTGTTGAGGTGTCCTGGTTGCCTGAGAGTTTTACACCCTGAGAATATGATCACTGTGTCTAGACTGTTCATTGCTGGAAATGAACACTCTATCAAAAAAACATGTGATTCCTCTATTTTTTCTAAAACCACAACCTTGCAGCGTATAACCCGTGCACAGAGGATGTGCACGCTCTGACAAAAACTGTGATTCTCTTTTGAAACTGCCTAAGTTTACATAATTCTGCACAAATTGTCCAAAATAGGGTATGATTATGGGCATTTGTAAAAAATAAATTAAACTCCTGTAAACTGTTTCTATGCAGACTTGGAATTAAAATGATAAATATAGCCACAATTCTGCAGTGTGCATGGAATCAATTTCACTCTGCACACCCCCCTGGTTTAAAATCCAGCTGCTTTGTCCTGCTTCCTGTCACCTTGCATGACTCCTGAGCTGCAGTGATTCCTTAAGGAGATAAGGAAGCAGTGAAGGCCGGATGTGGAAATGGTACTGAACTGTGCCTACGTAAACATGGAGGGGATTCCTATCAGACTGGGAACAGTCTCTGTTCGCCTCTGTGTGTGTCGGGGGGCTGCTGTCTGAACGGGTGTCACGGATGTACAGACCATAATGACTTTATGAATCACAGCGCTGTTTGCAGTCACACAAACATGAACCCCTACCAGTGTGCGTGCGCGTGTGGATCTTGAGGTTCTCTGAGCGTGCGAACATCTTGCCGCAGTTGGGAAATGCGCATGAAAAAGGCTTCTCCCCGGTGTGCACGCGAATGTGGTTGATGAGTTTGTATTTGGCTTTGAACGCCTTCCCGCCGCGCAGACACTCGTCCCACATGCAGACATGACTGAGGGTCTCGAGCCCTGCTGCTACATGCTCGGTGGTGACGTGGTCCACCAGCTCGTGCATGGAGCTGAAAGTTTGCTCGCAGACGGATGTCGCCGTCCGCCCCAGCCTCTGTCTCGAAGAAGTTCGGTCAATCCATTTACACACCAGCTCCGTTTTCACGGTGGGGCCTTTGGAGAAATCCAGCAGGCCGTCCATCCCAACGCCGGCACAACTGTCGGCAGAAGCGGAGATATTAGCGGCTCTCTGCTGATGCGGGGAGACGATGCTCGAGGAGTTGTTGTTCCCCAGCGGAGAGACGAGGCCATTGTGCCTGGCCACTACAGCCGCCCGCTTCATGCTCAGCGCGGCGGGCTGCCCCGCTCCTGTGTCCGACTACAGTCCTCTCTTCCACGGAAAACAGGTTAAATCCAAGTGGCAAAGCGTTCGTCGCTTTCCTGCTTCCTTCCTGTGTGTTTTGGTGAAAGGGAGAGCGCATGCGGCAGTGTCTTACCCCCCGCTGTTCGGTATTAGATCCCGAGAGTCAGAGCCTCCATGCTTTTATTTACTGTGTGAATGGAGGTGAATGGAGTCGAAGAAATACAGCGGGCCGCGAACCAACACTGTCGGGAGGCGTCCTTGTCTCCTTTCCTTGTTTGGTCCTCTCACATTCCCTTTCCTATTTACATCCAACAGACCCACAGAGGTCTGATTAGAGAAATTCACTCCCAATGATGACTCCCTGTCACAGGCTTCATCATGGGGATACACTCATTTGTCAATCCAACATCTCATGGATATTTGTGTTGTGTGTGAATAAATAAAAATGATGCTATAAAATCTATACACTAGGCCTATTTGTGTAACGTGAATTTAAGATGACACCCTAGTGTATTTAGCTACCATTCAATGTTTTGTAGGACAATTTAGGATTTCATTTCCTGATTTTGAGAATCATCATTCCTAGATAATGCATAACAATGTATTCATTATATCATAATATAAAGAAAACACATTTGTAATGGTAAGGAAAAATAGTAATTGCTTGAGTTAATTAATGTGTGAGTCAAAAGTCATTATAGAATAAAACAATTGTATTTCAGACAAAAATGGTTGTTATTTGCACCAAATATTTTGATAACACTCTGATACTGTGTCACAGAACTATGTGGCTATGGAACAGGGTGTAAACAGGAGGAAATAAACTCATACAAGTGAAATATTAAATAAATCTCTGAAATACAAAATTAAACATTACTTAAATAACTACTCACTTAAAAAATAACTAAGGTCTATTTCTTTATATCTTATATATTAACCTTTTGTTTCACATTTAATGATTTTGTTACCCATCCTAAAACAATGTACATTATTTTGGTAAATAAAATCCCTTAGTTTTCCAACCTTTACCTGCTCTTCCAGTTCAATGCGTAGCCTGTTACCCTATATCCTTAGATAAAAAGGGCCCATTCTAAGGTAACAAAAACACATCTATTCTTGCTTTCAGGTGACAATAATGAAAACATTGTTATTAACATTATATTCCATCCATCTTCTACCGCTTATCCGGAGTCGGGTTGCCATTTACTGCCAAGTACTAAGTCCTAAGTACTGCAATTAATAAAGTATTAGGTGCATTTCTGAGGTACCTCCTTTTTACTTTGTCTTCCCTACATTCAACAGTTAAATATTACACCTCTACACTACATTTATTAACGTGTAGTTACTTTTTCAATTACAATTTCAATTAAAATACAAACCATACGAGCAGTTTACAAAATATGATCTTTTGTCCCAGATTTGACTACCAAGAGTGTATGAAGTAGTTGAAATTAGGTCCACCTTAAGAATCGCTAACATGAATACAGGTTACATAATTATACTTCAATATGATCCAAAAATCATCCAGTAATATAGTTTACCAAGAGAAGCGTCTCTTGTGGCCAATTGTGAAATATTTTATCTGTGATACTATATGTTAATTTTGGTGCATTAGTTTTATACTTGAACTTAAGTTTACATTTCTAATGCACTTCTACTTTTAATGGAGTATTACTGTGGTGTACTTTTGCAGAAGTAAAGGATTTTAATACTCCCTCCACCACCACCAATGACCTCAATTGACCTCTAGGTAAATGTTCACATTGATGCCATGTGGATTCTGATTTGTAACACCTGTTATACACACTGGGTATATGTGTGTTTTTCTTTAGAGGTTCACATTCCAAACTAAAGGAAAGTGATGGTTCCCCCTGCACCACTAGGCGTTTAACTCTTATCAGCTGCTGTAAACCGATCTTCACTTCCCTATGATTTACACAACACAGTTTTCTCATCCATGTCACTTTAACATGACCTTTATTATTTATACACCACTGTTGCAATATCTTTTTCTATTACATGTTATTTATGACCAACTTTGACCCTTTTCACCTAACATCCTCCTTGACCCATTGCCATTTGTTCCACCTGCTACTCACAAGGTTTGTCACACAACCATTAACCAACTTTTTTACAGGTGGTGGTCTGCTTGGATTTGAACTTTGTCACCAAGCTGCTGAGCAGTGTCCTGTCCCACTAAAACCATCTGCTCGTGCTGCTTATCCCTGTCACAATGCCATTAAATTATTACATATTACAGATAGAGAGACAGGAGTGATAATATTGCATCCTGATGTTGTTATTCATTTATAGGATGTTCTTGTTTTTTGGTTGATTTTGTATTAGGGATTTTGTGCATGTTAGGTGTGATTGTCTGTCCTCTTTATCTATAACATCAAGGACCATGATGGAAATAACTATTTACACTTTCTTCTATATTCATAAATAAAATCCATCAATCAAGCAAAGTTCTGTTGTGATATTTTTGCTGACTACACTGTAAAAAATGGCTGTTAAATCCACAGTTATTTATTGTGTTTGTGCACAGTAAATTACTGTATACTATTTTAGAGTATAATACCGTGTTTCCAACCAAAAATTACAGCAACTCTGGAGTTACTTTAAAAATATCAGTAGTAACGTGTAGAAAATCACAGTAACCAACAATGTACTGTAGAAGATCACAGTAACCAAAAAAGAAAGAACCAACCGAAAAACCCCATTTCTAGAATAGCTAATATATCTTAAATAAACCAACATCTTTTTTTTTCATAATCTTGATGCAGTGTAATTACTAGTTTGGCTATACTAGATATTTTATATACTTAGTAGTATATATTTTTTTTTTTAACCAGTTTAGCCCTGAGCCTGTTTTTCAGGTCTCAGGATCGAAAATGACATTCCCAGAACAAATGACCATATCATCCTTTTCCTCAAAGTAATGATAAACCTGTGAGTTGGATGTAGAAAAGTCAGAATCAATATAGATGTTTTTTTATTTTAAAGAAAATTCAGATTGAACATAGTAAAAAACTGTAAATTATAGTGTCCGTCCAAAAATTATTTTTTACTTATAGTGGAAACTAACCTTGGATGATGGTAAGGTAGACTAAAAGCTTTAGGAATCCAAAGTACAACATATAATAAGTACCCTGTATCAAGATTGATGCAAAACAAGTGACATTTGACCTTTTTAGAGAGGTTTAGCAACAACAACAAAACTCCACCTCTGAGGTGATTTGGGTGGAAATGAGGGTTTTACCGTTTCTCTGGAACCCATTGGTCGATTTTGGTGATTGACATCTCTTTCTGACCGTTAGAGCCAATAGAATGGAAGGGGAATCTCCCCACTCACACACACGGTAAAACTAAAAGGTGGGGCTTCGTGTACAGAGTTTTGCATGAGAGTGAACCTATCTCTCGCTCTGACATCTGAAAACCGAAAAGCAGGTTTATTGCTGATGGATTATCAGAAATCATTCAAAGTGACAGACACATTGGATTAACCTATGGATTAACTTCAGCAGCGTTTTTACCGTTTTAATGCCATTGAAGACCACTATTGACCAGACTACGACACAGGTGAGCCATGTTAGCGTTTTTAGCTACCTAGCGCCATATGTTTCGATGTCTGTTCTTGTTATTATCTCAGAGAGTTCGTATAATTGAGTGATAATGAAGGGTACCCCTCGATTCTGTGTCACCTCACGATGTGAAACGATGGGTTGGATGTGCAGCAAAGATAAATAATAAGGTTTTGTGAGTGAATTTCGGTGCAGTCATCTGTTAGCAAGTTTCGCACGTTGCTAATTCAGAGGCTCAGCGTCAGGGGCGGTGGGTACTGTAGGCTAGGGAAGGCTAAGCCTTCCCAAATATTTGTGTCACTGCATCCTGGTAAAATAAAAATATAATAATATTTGTGTCTTTGACATTAGCGCTGCTATGCAGCCACCAGTAAACTGTACTACGAAGTCAGTTCAACAGACCCTGGATATGTTTGAGTTATCTTAACTTACGGGCCGTCTACACTAAAGGCATCGAAAAATGCTTTCAACGCTTCGCCCATTCACTTGAATGGGGTGACGTAGAAGATTTTGAATCTTCGCCGAACTGCATTGTGGGGAGCGGAGCATGGCTTTGCAAGCATGTGAGCATCAAAAGTTGAGCAATGTTCAACTGTTGATGCTCCCGATGCTTTCGAAGCTGGCATCAGCCAATCAAATCCCGTTTATGCAAATTCCGCCAGTACAAGCGCTAGCCAATCAAACCGCGTGCAAGCTGGGAGAGCCAGACCGCAGTTCATTTCCTCATATTCCAAACGAGAAATTACGGTAGCAAATCACCCGGTTCTTTCCGACCAGAACTATTTACCGGGATACAAACCGGAGGAACCAGGCATGGAGGGAGGTGGCAGAGACAGTAGGTTTTCGCCTGTTTGGGGAGTTTATATCCAGTTTATTTCGTTTTAACATTGCTATTGCTTTGTATGTCGGGGGCGGGAGATTCATGTGATTGGTTGTTGGTCGCATTGCTCGCAAAAAATCGCCAAGCTTCAGACACGCCCAGCTTCAAGATTTGTTGTTGCCTGTAGTGTAGACGGGCCGTAACCCTAACGGCCCGTCCACACAGCGGCGTGCGTTGACGCTTGCCGGCGGGCGTGTCTGACACTCGACCAACAACCAATCACATGAATCTCCCGCCCCTGACACACAAGCAGCGGTTTGATTGGCTAGAGCTTGTACTGGCATATGATTCGATTGGCTGACGCTTCTGCCGAGGCGTCAAAAGTTGAACATTGCTCAACTTTTGCAGCGAGCCACGCCAGCAACGCTCCGCGTCGCTTCCCACGATGCAGTTCGGCTAAAAGTGACGTCACCCCATTCAAAGTGAATGGGCAGAAGCGTTGGAAGCTTCAACGCACGCCGCTGTGTGGACGGGCCGTAACAAACGAGCGGTCCTACGACGCTGGTTATCAACTCGGTAAATCAAGCCAGGGTTTCTCTCTCCAGCTGAGAGCGCGTTCACGTGAAAGGGGAGGGGTTAGCTACATTTGACCAATCACAAACAGGGACAAGTGTACTGACGGCGCAGCGTCATACTTCATTAATGAAAAGTAAACTAATATTAGACAAATATGAACTTTAAACATCCATGATTTAAACATATAATCCAGGAAACCACATAGCCACCTGCGAGGTGAATATATAACAACTGGTTAA